GGCGCGGGGCGCGGGCGCTCCCTGCGCTGTTCCCCTTGGAATGGCACCGACTGGGGGTGCTGGGCTCTGCCCGCCCTGCGGGGCTGGTGCTGGATGAGGGTCTGGGCCCCGCGGGCTGTTGGGTGGAAGTTCTCTAAAATGTGGTGTTTGTTGCTTTGTCCAGTAAGGGAACAGCTGAAGGAGCTCACCAAGCAGTATGAGAAGTCGGAAAATGATCTCAAGGCCTTGCAGAGTGTTGGGCAGGTAGGTGAGAGAAATGAGGTCTTGGCAGCCTGTGAGGGTTGTTGACAGTGAACTTGTTTGGAACTCGCATTTAGATCCATTTATGGCAGCGGGAAAGTCAAACTGTTCCCAGTTTGTCTAACAGAAACAGAAATCTTGACATCAGGGAGTGTATGGATTAGAGAGGTTTTTCTCTGTGTTCAGGAAATAAAAGTACTGTCAAGCAATGTGAAGCACAGGAAGAGTTTTAGACCTGACCATCATCTTCCACGTCCTGAAACACGTTACATTCTTTAATATTAATTTATCTTCCATGTTCCCTGTCTATAAACATGGAACTGTTGGAGCAAGTCCAGAGGAGGCCACAAAGCTGATCAGAGCACTGGAGCACCTTCCTACAAGGACAGGCTGAGAGAGTGGGAGCTGTTCAGCCTGGAGAAGAGAAGGTTGTGTGGAGACCTCAGAGCAACCTGCCAGGAGCTGAAGGGGCTCCAGGGAAGCTGCAGAGGGACTCTTGGTTAGGAGCTGCAGGGACAGGACAAGGAGCAACGGGGAGAAATTGCAAGAGGGAAATCTAGATTAGATATCAGGCAGAAGTTTTCCCTGTGAGGGTGGTGAGGCACTGGCACAGGTTGCCCAGGGGAGGCTGTGGCTGCACCAGCCCTGGCAGTGTTCAAAGCCAGATTGGCTACAGCCTTGAGCAACCTTCTCTGGTGGGAGGTGTCCCTGCCCAGGGCAGGGGGTTGGTACTGGATGATCTCTAAGCTCCATCCCAACCCCTAAAGTTACATGATTCTGTGATCTCTAGGCTAATACTCTCTTTATTCTCTTGCAGATTGTTGGTGAGGTTCTCAAACAGCTGACAGAGGAGAAATGTAAGTACACTGGATGTTGTGTTCTCTGAGGTCATGAAAATCAAGGAATCATGGAATGGTTTGGGTTGGAAGAGACCATAAATACAATCTCGTTCCACCCCCTGCCATGGGCAGGGACGCCTTCCACTAGCCCAGGTTGCTCCAAGCTCCATCCAACCTGGCCTGGAACACTCCCAGGGATGAGGCAGCCACAATAATAAGCTTTTTATAGTTAAATTCTGGCTAAAGATCTGGAGGGAAAAATAATTAAAGTATTGGTAATCAGATTGTTGGCAGACAAACATTCTGGGGAGTTCAGAAACACAACTCAGAGCAGTGAATTAAGCAAATTTAATGTTTTTCCCTACTTTTCTCTCTGCAGTCATTGTGAAGGCCACAAATGGACCCAGATACGTCGTTGGCTGTCGGCGCCAGGTACCTGCTCTGTCTGAATGTTCCAGAAAAGTTTGCCTTGCTCTGGAATATGAGCATTGCTTCTCATCCACTGAGCCCTCAGTGGGGTTTAGTATTTTATTCCTTAAGGCTGTTTTTAATTTAATGTTATCTATGGCTATTCCATACTGGGATCTGCTTCCCCTTTTCTATGGTAGCTGGTAGGAGTGTAACTTCCTGGTGAGGACAAAACAGTCCACAACACTTTCTGGATGGAATTTCTGGAACCTTGCATGTGGTTTCTTTTCCATCTTTCTGCCTGATCTTGAACTTTCAGACAATTATCAGTATGAAAACTAATGAACTGTGCTGTGATTGTTACTGTCATAGTGCTTAGCTTAAGTTCAGTGTTAAATATTTCTGTACCGTAATGAAATGAAATGGTTTGAGCTGGAAGGACCTTAAAGGGCATCCAGTCCCACCCCCTGCTATGGACAGGGACACCTTCCACCAGCCCAGGTTGCTCCAAGCCCCATCCAGCCTGCCTTGGAACACTCCCAGGGATGGACCAGCCACAGTAGCTGTGTGTAACCTGTGCCAGTGCCTCAGTACCCTCACAGTCAAGAATTCCTTCTCAATAATGGTTTGAGCTGGAAGGACCTTAAAGGGCATCCAGTCCCACCCCCTGCTATGGACAGGGACACCTTCCACCAGCCCAGGTTGCTCCAAGCCCCATCCAGCCTGCCTTGGAACACTCCCAGGGATGGACCAGCCACAGTAGCTGTGTGTAACCTGTGCCAGTGCCTCAGTACCCTCACAGTCAAGAATTCCTTCTCAATATCCCATCTAATCCTGCCCTCTGGTGGTGGGAAGCCATTCCCTGTGTCCTGTCACTCCATGCCGTGACCCAAGTCCCTCTCCAGCTCTCCCAAGTCACAAACATCCCCAGTGAGTTCGATCCAGCCCATGAACAGCTCCAGCATGGGCTGTGTCCTTTTCCTTAAAGCTCAGAATAAATCAGTTTCTTAGAACCAAGATGAAAACCACAAGTTGTTTCAATTAATGACTTGTTGTTCAAAATCTATTTCAACATGAATACAAATTCTTCCTGTGGCCTGACTTTGCTTTGCTGATGTCCAGTTGTGCCAGCCAAGTGATTCATTGGCCTAAGCTCCTGGATCCCTTCTCCCAAGCCGATGTGCCCATTAAACACTGGGATGCCTTTTTCCCAGATGAAGCATTCCCAAAACTGGTGGTGATGGGGCACAGTGTTTCCTAAATGATCTGCTTGGGCTGTAGCTCCACAGCTTTGTGTTCTTCTTGTGTGTGATTGAGGAAAGAACACAACTCTACTAAACATCTTGGCTATGCCCACACGTTGCTTTGGAATGTGGTTCTAACAGAATTCCTTTTTTTGGGACTAGTTGGACAAAAGTAAGCTGAAACCAGGGACAAGAGTTGCTCTGGATATGACCACTCTGACCATCATGAGGTAAGTTTCTGCCCTTGTGCTCATCATATAAAGGGGGGAAATAGTGATCTGAGTACATTACACAGTGGTTTGAATAGTGAGATTGTAATAGTTTGTATATGCAATATTTTGGCATTGCTAGAGTCAGGACAGTTACTTTGAGGGAGGTCTTAGGTGTCTGTTACACTTGATTTAAAAATAATTGGTTGTTCTTTAAAGATAATTCAGTTCCAGCTTAGTGTTTTCAGCCATTTTTAAGCTTTATTTGGTTTAAAACTTGAAAAACTTTGCTCGCTTTGGGGTTCATTCTGCTTTGTCAACACATAAACTTATCAGGTGGGAGGAGGAGAAATATATTCATAGTTGCTGTAAAATTTTCTGCAATAACTTTGTGTCACACGATGAAAAATGTTTACTCTTAACTTTCCCCCCCCCTTCCCCAGATATTTGCCCAGGGAAGTGGATCCATTGGTTTATAACATGTCTCATGAAGATCCAGGGGATGTTTCCTATTCTGAGATTGGAGGATTGTCAGAACAGATCAGAGAGCTGCGAGAGGTATCCGACCCTTCAAACCACTTATCAGATAGGGATAAACATCCCGAGGGAAGTTTTCCAGGAAAAACATCTTTTTGGTGTTTGTCCTGTACCACATCAGACAGATTAGAGCTTTCCATGTTTCATTAACTTGGATGAAGTGCTTGGATCGGGATTAAAATGAAGAAAATCCTTTAAAGAAGAAGATTTAAAGGATCTGAGAGCCTTTAGGCTAAGGGAGTGCCATGAAGTGAAGTGGGAGGGAGTAGGTGGGATTGAGAGCCAGCAAATCAAACGGGTTTGGCACCAAAACCCACCAGAATTGCTTGGGGGCATGGAATTGTGACAGCAGGGAAACATGGATTGAGAGAGGAAGAAGTTACTGCAGAGGTGAATGTCAGAGCAAGGATTGGGAATCAATGCATTGGAGCAATCTGACATTGTCTTACCTGTTTCTCCATCCAGATGTGCTGCACATATAGATAAGAACAGAAATATCTGGCAATTGTGCCGTTAGCTTCCAAGGATTGTTGATCCATTTAAAACCTGTTTCTCTGTCTCTTCATAGGTAATAGAACTGCCTCTCACAAACCCAGAGTTATTCCAGCGGGTGGGAATTATCCCTCCCAAAGGCTGTTTGCTCTATGGACCTCCTGGTGAGTCTCGGCAAAGGGTGTGTTTAGTTGTTGCTCTCAAACTGTGGCAAGAGCGTTGTTTCTCTTCCTTCCCCCCCCTCCCCCTTTCTGTTTCCCCTCTCCCTCCCCCTCTCTCCCTTTCCTCCTTTCCCTCCACCTCCCTTTCTCCCTCTCCCTCCTTCCCAACTCACTGGCAGTGTTGGCTTGGCAGTTAAACATCTTCAGTCTCTTGTCTGTGCAGGTACAGGGAAAACCCTTCTGGCCAGAGCCGTTGCCAGCCAGCTGGATTGCAACTTCCTGAAGGTACTAGAATGTCACTCCTGGACTCCCAGTTTGGTCTGTTTGCACGCCAGTCTCCTCACCCACATGTCCTCTGTCCTCCCAAAGGTGGTGTCCAGCTCCATAGTGGACAAGTATATCGGGGAGAGCGCTCGGCTCATCCGGGAGATGTTCAACTATGCCAGGGACCACCAGCCATGCATCATCTTCATGGATGAGATCGATGCTATTGGTAAGGCTGATGACCTGGGCATGCCTGGAGTCTCCTTTCCAGACTAGAATTAGCTCTGAAGCCACTTCCCTGTGTTTAAAAGGCAGAATTGCAGGAGTAGAACTCATGAGTTTGGTGTGTTACAGGTGGTCGTCGTTTCTCCGAGGGCACATCAGCTGATAGAGAAATTCAGAGGACTCTGATGGAGGTGAATGGCTAATTCCTGACTGTCCTGTGCATCCACATTCAGGAACAGTCCAGATGTGGATTGTTCCCTGGGATCTGGCTTTGTGGAACCTTTCCTGAGTTGCCAGCTTTAAGCTAGAAGTGAACCAGATGCTGCTGTTCCAAAAGACAACTGCACATCCTGATTACTCAGCCATGCATTCAACTTGGAGCCTAATTGAATCCTTAACAGTGCTAAAATTATTTGGGATATTTTCTCTTCTTACTCTGACTTGACTTTACTACTGCTTCCTGCAGCTTTGAAGGTTTGGAGGGCTCCTAAAGAAGGGAAGCAGAACTTGGCTCTTCTAGTCTGACAGGCACTTGGTCTATAAGTTTGGGGCTGTTACACTTGGATTTTCTAAACTAGGAGGAGCAGCTGTATCCCTTTGTTCCTCTCTTAATTGCTCTGGTTAAACTGAGATATGTGAAGGGAATTTTAAAGCCACTGGTGACAATTAGGAATTCTGAAGCCAATGGGAACCTTCACTGCCTGTGTTAGCAAACACTTTGCCCTGTTCAAAAGCATGTGTCTGCCTTCCATGGAGAAGGAAATCCCTGGGATCAAAGAGCAAAGTGCTCTGAGTCTTCACAATGAAATGTCTTCCTATGTGTGTATTAGTATTCCAGAGGCTGTTCTCCAAGTCTAATTGGAATGTCCTGGATGTGGTGCACTACAATCAGAATGTGTCAGACAGACATTGGCTCCTTTAGTGTTTTCTGTGCCTCATTGTTTCACTCAAGTCTCTGCTCAATGTCCTTTTCTCTGGGCAGAGCACTTGGAGTGTCTCCCTCCAGCCCTTCACTGCCCATGGAATACTCTGGGAGCTCAAGGCCTTTCCTTAGGCAGCTTGTAGGATTTTTATCCTGATTTATCTTTAGTGTTTCTCATCTTAGCAAAAACACTTAGGCAAGAAAAAATCCACACTAAGAAGGTTTTGGGTTGTCTTAAAACCAACTCGTTTTTCCTGTTAGTTGCTGAACCAGATGGATGGATTTGACACTCTGCACAGAGTGAAGATGATCATGGCAACTAACAGACCTGACACTCTGGATCCTGCCCTGCTCCGGCCTGGGAGACTGGATAGAAAGATCCGTGAGTTATTTCTCAGGGAGGAGGATAATAATCCATGGGAATGGTGGGGGTTCTGCTTTGATTAAAGCTCTCATTTTTTTCCAGATATTGATCTCCCAAATGAACAAGCTAGATTGGATATTCTGAAGATTCATGCAGGGCCTATCACTAAACATGGAGAAATAGGTAAGTAGGAAGTTACATGGATATCACTCCCTCTGCTGTTTGATGGGAAGAGGGTGAGTTGTTAGGGTGACTCTGACCTTATTCCTGCCTTTACACAACTTTCCCTCTTGGAATTCTACTTTTATTCTTAATGCATCCTGATTGAAGTATTGCTAATTCTTTTGTAAAGGAAAACTGATTATAAATCCTTATAAAACTGAACATAAACAGGAAAATCAACAGGATTCTCACCAAGGAGTTTTCTGTTTCTAAAGGAACAGCTTAGGGCAAGAAAACAGTGTTTTCATTAGCCTCCAATGAAAGAAGTGTTGGTAACAAAGAAGTCTGAGAACAATAAAAGTCAGAGAGAAACTTGGGAGATGGTGTAACAAAAACTTTGTTGTCTGGTCAGTGGTGTAGATTCTCTCCAGAGCATAAAGAGGAGAAACATAAGGCAAAATTAGGAAGATATATTTAATGACTATGTGTCTCTAGGCTTATCAGAGTGTTGGTTTCACAGTGACTCCTCAGCTTTCCTCAGGGCAACTGTAGCTGTGATTTGCCTTTAAAAGGGCTCTGATTGCCTTTGAGTACAGCAGTGCCCTGTGGATCCACCCCCACTCCTGTGCTGACAGCAGCAGTTCCTGCAGGAATTGCTGGGCAGCACAAGCTGGACACTGGAACTGATCCCATTCACCATCTGGCTGCATCAACAGCTGCAGCTCAGTGGAGGGAATTGCTTGGGATAGCAGGAGAGGGCTGGGGGAGGGCACAGGGATGAGGGTTGCTTTGCAGGGTTGGCTTAAACCTGCACAGGAATGGAGGCTAAGAGGGAGGTGAAGTTCCAAAAGAAATGACGAACCTGAGGTAAAGTACTTGGAGAGAGACTTTGGACAGGGGTCGGGAGTGACAGGACAAGGGGGAATGGCTTCAAACTGAAACAGGGCAGGGATAGATTGGATAGAGATGGGGCAGCTCTTCTGTAAGGAGAGGCTGAGAGAATTGGGATTTTTGAGCCTGGAGAAGTGTGACCTAATTGTGGCCTTCCAGTACCTGACGGAGCCAGCAGGAAAGATGGAGAGAGACTATTGACAAGGGCCTGGAGGGACAGGACAAGGGGGAATGGCTTCACATTGCCAGAGGGCAGGGCTAGATAAGGAAGTCTTGGCTGTGAGTATGCTGAGGCACTGGCACAGGTTGCCCAGAGCAGCTGTGGCTGCTCCATCCCGCGGAATGTTCCAGGCCAGGTTGGATGGGGCTTGCAGCAACCTGGGCCCATGGCAGGGGGTGAGACTGGATGAGCTTTAAAGTCCTTTCCAATCCAGACCATTCTGGGATTCTGTGATTCTACTTCACCCTTGTTCTAATATGTTTGGGACTGGAGCAGGGTGGGATCATTCCTTCACACCATTTACAAGATGAGGTGTCAGGTCCAGCTAAATTTCTGAACATGATGTGGAAGGACTGTGATGTTTTGATATCCCAAAAGGAAAGCCAGAATTTAGGACCAGGATGGAGTGTGAACTGCCTTAAAATCTAAAGACAGTTACCTGCTCAGGTTCCTCCAGCATGAGATTCTCCTGCTCCAGTCCTGATGCCTACTGAAGACCCTAAACTTATAAACCTTGTTCAGCATTCCTTAATCCCCTCACTTTTATTATTTCCACTTATGAGAAGACTTTTTTATAGTGCTCCATTTTTATAGTGTTTTTTTATTGTGCTACATGGAATTAAAATATAGTTGAAGAATTCATAATCTCTAGGAGAATTTGGATTCTTGAGAGAAAAACAATCAGTTCAAATGTTCTGAATTTCACGCAGGAGGGAAAGTGTTGGAAAAGCTTTGCAGGAAGTTGATAAGAAGCCTTGCAAAAATCAGAACTTGCTGGAGGCTGAACAGCCACAGTGATAGAGAAGTTGATTGCTGATGAGCTACAACCAGCAGTAAATTTATGTGCATAAAGTATCAGCCTTAAGATATCAAGACATTAAATGCCTTTAGTAGATGCAGTGTTGAAAATGGAAAAGGACTGAGCTGTGATCACTTGGAGATAAGTTTTCTGGGGTTTTGCACCATTTAGGTGATAAGAACATTGCCTTGATGGAGCTTTTGCACTTCATGTTGGTTCTTGTAACCACAAGTTAGTCACTTTGGGATTCAGTCCCATAAAATGAGCTGTTGGCTGTAATACATTTGTGTTTTAATGGAAGTGGGGACACAGATGATGATTCCAGTTAATTTATCAGTCCAGTGGACAGCTCTGCACTGAAATCCGTGTGTGTCAGCTGGGTATGTATTCCATTGGCATCTCTAATGGGAAGTGTGATTGATTTCTCCTTGGCATTTGTGTCTTATGAACAGACTATGAAGCAATTGTGAAGCTTTCTGATGGCTTCAATGGAGCAGACCTGAGAAATGTCTGCACTGAGGCAGGTAAGTCCTTAACTCTTCATTTGGATGTGCTAAATCCTGGGTAATCCTAAACCTTGGAGCTGTTCCTCTGTGGATTAAACCTAGGAGCTTGGAAACCTGCTGGAACATTCTGCTGATGCTCACTCCTTGTATTCCATCCTTAAGGGCTAGATAGGATTGGCTTAATGGCAGTCTTGGCCTCTAGGACAGCACTGGAATGCCAGGATGGTTGTGTGTGTCACATGTGTCTGATTGCTGAGTGTAAGCAGCAGGATGGTCACATGCCCTGGAGCCTCCTTGGATCAACTTGAACAGGATCCCTTTCTTCCCACTTTCCTCATGACCCACACAGTCACACAGCACTTGATTCCTTCTAGCTTCCCCTGAGGTTATGGACAAATCCCTTGCCAGGTCTGCAGACAAACCAGCCAGGAATATCCAGCTGATCCATGTGAATCTGCTGCCAGTTAGGGGCAGGAGCTCTGCATCCTTGTGGCACTGCCTCTACCCGGCATGGAGTTGGGTGGATTTGGGCACTATCCTGGGATGTGTGTGGTATAAAATATCCCTGTAGTTCCTGTTCAGCGCAATGGGAGGAAAACCCAACCATTCCCTTTGGGAACTGGAGCTGTCCTTTAACCACTGGTTGGCTGAGTAACCTGACACGTGTCACACTTTCATTACAACTAGGTGCATCCCAGAAACAGCAGTTGTTACTATTTTTCTCCCTTTTTTAAACCGGAGAATCCAGAGAATTAGTGGCAGGTTAATGGTTGGACTTGATGATCTTAGAGGTCTCCTCCAACCTTGATGATTCTGTGATTCTAATCTGAGGCTCCTGATGCTCTGGTGACAGGAGAATTGATGCTATTTTATGCTTTTTCATAGAATCATAGTGTGTGAAGGGGTTGGAATGGACCTTAGAGCTCATCCAGTACCAACCCCCTGCCCTGGGCAGGGACACCTCCCACCAGACCAGGTTGCTCAAGGCTTTATCCAGCCTGACCTTGAACACTGCCAGGGATGGAGCATCCACAACTTCCATTTTTCCACATAAATGCATTGTGCACTTAGGCTTTGCCTGCGTGGACAGACTGAGCAATATAGTAAACACACAGAGTTTAAACAAGTTATACATTTCTTCTTAGTAATCCCCTAGTTCAGAAAGGTGAAATTTACTCTTCTCAACATCCAAGACCTTCATGGGGAAATCTACATGGAGACAGTGAAACATGGATCACTTTTCACTGAATTTGAGTGAATGTTGATGTTCTTTATTGCTGCAAGAAGCCTCAGTTTATCATAGAATATCCTGAGTTGGAAGGAATCCACAAGGATCAAAGTCCAACTCAAAGGAGAACTCCAAGAATCCCACCATGTGCCTGATAGCCTTGTCCAAAGCTTTATCCTTGCCTGTTCCACTCTCCTGCACAGGAATGTTTGCCATCCGTGCTGATCATGACTTCGTAGTTCAGGAAGACTTCATGAAAGCTGTCAGGAAAGTGGCAGATTCCAAGAAGCTGGAATCCAAGCTGGACTACAAACCTGTGTAAAGTAACCATGTGATTGATTGCACATGTCATACTGGGGTCATGTATAAAAAGAGAGAAATAATGTACCTCTTGATTATCAGTGTAAGGTGTTTGTGTAGCATGGAGCTAGTCATTTGGGAATGCTAGTTGGCTACAGAAGTATGTTTTCTGTACAATTCTGGAATACAATATCCATTACAGCCCAGGCTCAGTAACATGGGGGGAGGTGTGGTCTCCCAGCAGCCATGAGGGGAGTTTATAAAGGTGCCTGAAGGGATTCACAGACATTACAAAGTCAGTCCAGTTCTTGGCTTTTTTTATATCAGTAAATGTCCTTTCCCCAAACAGTTTATGAATAAAAGCTGTTTAAATCTGCTTATCCTAGTGGAATTTTTCTGGAGCTGTTGTAGAGAGGTGAATTTCATGTCTTATTAATGTGAAGAGTCACTTTTCTCTGTTGTAGGGATTGGACTCCTGTGCCTTCCACACCAAACAGAGGCAGCTTTTCCCACAGGGAGAGGAGGGACAAGTGGGGTTTAGAATCATAAAATCATTTAGATTGGAAAAGCACTCTAAGATCATCAAGTCCAGTTGTTCTCCCAGCACTGCCAAGGCCACCACTAACCATGTCCCCAACTGCCATATCCATGTGGCTTTTTAATCCCTGCAGGGATGGTGGCTCCACCCCTGCCCTGAGCAGCTGTGCTAGGGCTGGACAACCCTTTCCAGGAAGTTTTCCCTAAAACGCAATCTAAACCTCTCCTGGCACAAGGCGAGGTCATCTTGTCTTGTCCTGTCCCTTGTTCCCTGGGAGCAGAGCCGGACCTCACCTGGCTGCACCTCCTGCAGGGAGCTGGAGAGAGTGAGACGGTCCTCCCTGAGCCTCCTCTTCCCCAGGTTGAGCCCCCACAGCTCCCTCAGTTGCTTCTGCTGCTCCAGCCCCTTCCCCAGCTCCATTCCTTTCTCTGGACATGCTCCAGCACTTCAGTGTCTTCTTGTGAGTGGCCCAGAACTGCCCCCAGCCCTGGAGGTGCCTCAGCAGTGCCCACACAGGGGACAGGCACTGCCCTGGGGCTGTGCCCACACTGTTGGTGACATAAGCTACGATGATGTTGGCTTTCTTGGCCACCTGAGCTTACTCATGTGCTGCTGAACTCTGGGAAGGGGATTTCCCTGAGCTGGCATTTGCTGATTGCAAGATGTAAACAAGGTGTTTGTGTTTAAGGCCACTGTGCCTTGTATTTGTTCTCCAGCCAGCTCCACCCCTTGGGCTGCACTCACAGCTCCACTACACTGTGCAGCTTACCTAAGGTTGGGCTGGAGCAGTAGTCGTGCACTAAACTGCACTTGTGGCTACTTCTGATTGTCCTAATTGGATTACTCTGGGCATGCTCAGCGGACAGACAAGTACATTAGATTAACTCTAGACTTCCCAGGAAACTCTGCTTAACAGCATCTCCCTGGCAGGTTTAATAGCTGTGGGTTTTATTTCCTTTGCCATCCCTGATATAAAACAGGTAGTGTGAGGTGTAGAACAGTTACAACAGGACAGGCAACAATATTTCCCTGTTTAAATGGCTGATGGTTGTTACAGACCTTTGCTCTGGCAAGTAACTACCTACTGTGACTGTGTCTGGAGGGTGAAGATGCAAATCTTTTCTATAACACCTTTTTGAGTGCAGCTTCTACAACCAATGCGCTTGGAACAAGGAGAAAATGAAATCAGACTCCATTTCTGAGCACTACAGTGGTGGAAACAGTGAGCTGAGCCTCTGGCAATACCTTGGAGGAGGGTGAAAGGTGGAAAACTTTCCTGGAGCCCTGCGAGTGCGGACAGCTTGTATTTGAAGTTCAGGACATAAGCTATAGACACCTGTCCCTGTTTCTGGGTTTGACACCAGCTGGAGGTGGGAGCTGCAGTTTTCCTCTTGCTGTTTCCTTCATCTTTCTGTGGAAGGAAGTTGGAGTACTGAAGGAACAGTTGCTGAAATGTGATTGTTGAAGGTTCTTCAAGGTTTTGTATAGTAAAAGCAGCAAAAAGAGTCTTAATTTCTATTTCTGGTGCACCATAAATTCCAGGCTTAGGATTTTCAAATGGACATCTCCAGTTTTGTTTAGGCAGCCAACTCACTGACTTTGCTTACTTGGCTAAGCTTCCCTTACAAGTTCCAGGACAGCAGTGTAGGGTTTTGATTCACCAAAAAGCACAGGCATGGAAAAATGCAGTTTAAAGTGAAGTCTCATAGAATCATGGAATGGTTTGAGTTGAAAGGACCTTAAAGCTCATCCCATTCCACCCACTGCCGTTGGCAGGGACACCTCCCACCAGCCCAGGTTGCTCCAAGCCCCATCCAACCTGGTCTGGAACACTCCCAGGGATGGAGCAGCCACAGCTTCTCTGGGCAACCTCTGCCAGTCCCTCACTGCCCTCACAGCCAAGAATTCCTTCCCATTATCTCATCTAACCCTGATGTCATTCCCCCTTGTCCTGTCACTCCATCCCTTGTCAAAAGCTCCTCTGCAGCTCCCTTGGAGCCCCTTTAGGCACTGGAAGGGGCTCTAAGGTCTCCCTGGAGCTTCTCTTCTCCAGGCTGAATTTATTCCTAGTTTCTAGAGTCGAAGCAGAAGTTGGGGCTGAGGTTCCTGCCCCAACACTGGTGTGTCAAGCATCACCCATGCACAAAGAGGACCTGATTGAAGATGATCCCATCTGCCTTGTCACCTAAAAATTGAACCTTCTGGTGTGGGACAAAGTGACTGTCAGCTCAAAATGGATCTGGTTTGATCTGTGGGGAGCCACAGCAACAACAAGGCAAGGGGATGGCGACAAGGAGAAGCACCGATGGCCACGACACTGCTTGTTCCTCCCCCAGCACAGCCAGACCCCAGCCACCCCCAACCCGCAGTGGGCACAGCGCTGGTACGGAACAGTTTGGGGTTCATCACCCTCAATTTGGTGTTGTGAGGAGTTGAGTTAATGAACGAGCCCGGGTGGTCACAGCCCACGAGGGGCAGAGAGAGAATGAACGTGCTCTCTCCTCTCCAGCGCGGCAGCTTAAGCCGTGTGTGAATATTTTGGGGTCAATAAAGGCGCTTTTGGTAGTGCGAGGGGTGTAATTATACATGAGCCAAGGCGGTCACAGCCTGAGAGGATGAGAGGGAGGAATCACAGAATCATAGAATCAGCCTTGTTGGAAGAGACCTCAAAGATCAACTCTACCTGTGGTTACTAGACCGTGGCACCAAGTGCCACATCCCGTCTCATCTTGAAAACCTCTAGGGATGGTGAATCCACCACCTCCCTGGGCAGCACATTCCAATGCCTGATCACTCTCTCTGTAAAAAATCTCTTCCTAATATCCAACCTAAACCTCCCCTGGCAGACCTTGAGTCTGTGCCCTCTTGTCCTGCTGCTGGTTGCCTGGGAGACCAACCCTCACCTGACTCCAACCTCCTGTCAGGGAGTTGTAGAGGGTGATAAGGTCTCCCCTGAGCCTCCTCTTCTCCAGACTGAACAACCCCAACTCCCTCAGCCTCTCCTCATGGCACTTGTGCTCCAGTCCCTTCACCAGCCTCGTTGCTTTTCTCTGGACCCGCTCCAGCCCCTCAAAGGGGGAGAGCGAGGACGATCGTTCTGCCGCAGCGCGGCGCCTCAAGCCACGCGCGAGTGTTTTGGGGTTAATCAAGGCGCTTTTGGTGGTGCGAGGGGTGTGATGAACAGCCGAGGCCGCGCGGTCACAGCCCGAGGGG